CAACACCCTGATTCTTCTAGTCTGTACCAGGCCCGCCCACCCTGGATGACCCAGACACTTCTGTCTGTCACGCCATCACCGCTCGCTTCGGCGCCATCATGAAGGAAGACTGCGTCTCCTCTTTTTTGTTTCTCGACTGAATTGCGGTGCCTCTGCTTCAATGCTCCTATTAACGCTCTCCACTCAACCGATGACAAAGTTGCCGGCGCTCCTACTGGACCATATGAGAAGAAGACGTTGCTCCAGCCACGTGCCCTTGTGTGCTCCGTCTGGGACCAGCTGCTGGTGTCCGAGACCCTCGGCGACAAGGACACCTCTGGTGGCTCAACCACCACGTGACACGGTGCCACCAGCGCTGCTGGTACGGGGGAAAAGACATCAGCAGTGGGTGGTCATCTACCAGACATCGCTGTTGGCAATGTTGCGACGTCAGCTGATCCATGCACCGTCAAGGAGGCGCTTGCCTCGCCAGACTCTGAGGAGTGGCGCCAAGTCATCCTGGACGAGTGTGCGGGAATGCACGCCAATGACGTCTACGACGTCGTGCCTCGCGCTGACCTTCCCAAGGGCCACAAGCTGCTCCGTACTATGGTCATCTTTTCGACGCAGCGTGATGACCATGGTTATGTGATCAAGTACAAGGCGCGCTGGGTTGCCAAAGGCTACTCCAGGTCCACGGTGACAACTACACGGACACCTTTGCCCCGACGGATACGATCGCAGCCATTCGCACCATGCTCGCCATGGCCGTCGCGCGTGGCATGGACATCCAGCAGATGGACGTCAACACGGCGTTCCTCAACGCGCCCGTGGATCACGAGATCTACGTCCAGCCACCGGCCGTCGACGGCATCTTCTCGCCGAATACAGTCCTGCGCCTCAAGCGCGGGCTGTATGGGCTGAAGCAGAGCCCGCGCCTGTGGAACCACACGCTGGACGCCTGGATGCGCGAGCAGGACTTCGTCGCCACAGCCACGGACGCCTGCATCTACCGCCGCACCTGCAAGGGTGGCAAGATGATGTGGGTTGCCGTCTACGTGGACGACCTGCTCATCTTCGCCGACAGCGACAGCGACATGGCCGCGTTCAAGAAGGCCATCTCCAAGCGCTTCAAGATGAAGGACCTGGGCAGCCCAGACATATGTCTCGGCATCAAGGTGCAGCACGACCGCAAGGCCAGGACCGTCACCATGAGCCAGGAACACTACCTGTGCAACGTGCTGGAGAGCTTCGGCATGGCTGACTGCAAGCCGGTCGGCACGCCGCTCTGCACGGGCTACGTCGACAAGCCGGCCGACAAGGAGGAGCCACTGCCGGACGTGCCGTTCCGCGAGCTGCTTGGCTCCCTCCTCTATGCTGCGACGATGACGCGCCCAGACATCTCAGCGGCTGTCTCCATCCTGTCTCGCCGCATGCAGCACTTCAGCATGGACCACTGGAAGGCTGCCAAGCACCTTCTTCGCTACATCAAGGGCACCTTGTCCTACACCATCAAGTACGCCGCCACTGGCGACACCAGCAACGGCAGCACTGCCGACGGCGTGCTCTCAGCGTACTCGGATGCGTCCTTTGCCTCCGACGTTGACACGCGACGTTCCCGCACGGGCTTCGTCGTCTTCTGTTCCACGGGCCCCGTGTCCTGGAACTCCAAGCTGCAGGCCACTGTGGCCACAGCCTCCGCCGACGCGGAGTACATGGCTCTCGCAGCCACCGCACAGGAACTCATGTTCCTTCGCCAACTCCAGGAGGAGCTCACCGGCGCCGTCCTGTGCGAGCCCACGCTCGTCCACACGGACAACCAGCCGGCGCAGCGCGTTGCCGAACACGCCGCCTCGCGCATGCGGCACATCCTCGTCAAGTACCACTACATCCGCGAGTGCGTCGACACCAAGAGGATTGTGCTGAGCTACCTCGCCACGGAGCACATGATCGCAGATCTCCTCACGAAGATCCTCCCTCGGCCCAAGACGGCTCAGTTCTGCACGATGCTGTTCGACCAGCGTCCTCTGCCAGGTTGCCAGCCACGGGCCCGTCCTCATTCGGGCCGGTCGCCACGTCCTTCGACTCCGCGTCAGGACCTCTGAGCGGCCGCGCACCACAGGACACGCCTTCACTCGGGCCAGCCTTCCACAACAGGCTGCGCACCACAGGCACCAACCATTTTCTTAAACGTGTTCCACAACACACGTCCTTACTCACATCTCACCTACCTCTGCCCATGCCATTCCTACATGCATGACATCATCATCATCATCATCACGTTTCAGAACATCAACGCAGCAGAGAGGTAGGTCAATGCGGGGGAGTGTTGACAGGCAAGTCCTGTCTGCTGAGTCATATCATTGACCTCCCTTCTTCACGACACCACAAATTTGCACTCACCTCTCTTGTGTTCTGGAATGTTCACGTGATTTCCCTCCAATCTGTTGCACGTGCAGTGTTTACCTTGTGTGGTTGCTCGATGTTACATGCTCTTGCATAACACACCACATAACCACACAACTCTCAACAAACACTGCCACGTCACCACTTTGCGTTGTCGACAATTCTTGTCTTCTGCTCTGTTTATTTCTGTTGGAGTGTTCATTCATCCTACATCCTTGTTTGCTTCACAACTCAAGTAAACACACACAACTCCCTCTTGCCAAGACAATCTTCCACACAACACACAGCACACTCTGCACACACACAAGTCTCCAACAACAGCACCACCAGCATGAGCATGCAACATCCATTCCTTGGTGGTGTCTTAGCCCAAAAAAAAAGAAAGAGAACAAAAAAACCAGTTACACTTGACGGGACTCGAACCCGCAACCCTTCGATCCGAAGTCGAAAGCGCTATCCATTGCGCCACAAGTGCCACTTGAGCACATGTTGACGTAGAAGAATTTGCTTTTATCAAATGGTTGTGTGTTTTCCAAGACAACAGAGGTGATGGAGGATGTTGTCCATGAGCCGTTCCAGGTCAGATGTGTGTGTGTGTGTGTGTGTGTGTGTGTGTGTGTGTGTGTGTGTGTGTGTGTGTGTGTGTGTGTTTGCGCGCATCGTTGCTCGTCTGACCTCCTATCCACGTGGCTGCCCCCGTCTGACGTCCCTACCTCTTCCCTCTGCCCGTCTCTCCCATCTCTGCCTCTCTATTTGCGGCGATGTTTGTGACACGCGGCGTGTGCCATTTCGTACCACCCTACTCATCTCTCCTCTGAACTTGCGTGTTTCGTGTGCGCAGCTGGACCACGTGCAGTTGAAGCGTGGCTTGAAGGTTGCTGCCACAGGCTTTCTCAAGTTTCAAGCCTCTGTTCTCCTCTTTCATGACCCAGACACAAAAACAGAGCTCTGGGTAAGAGCGCAGCTTTCTGCTGTTTGCTTGTGTGTGTGTGTGTGTGTGTGTGTGTGTGTGTGTGTGTGTGTGTGTGTGTGTGTGTGTGTGTGTGTGTGTGTGTGTGTGTGTGTGTGTGTGTGTGTGTGTGTGTTGCTCCTTACTTTCTGATTCGAGGCCGGCCCCTTGTGCGTATTGCCCATCAACGCCCAATCTTCCTCACCAACCTCATCTCCTTTCGCTGCCATAGATTGAGTACATGACGATCCAGACCAGTGCCCTGCTCTTTTTCCTCACACGTCACATCAGACACGATTGAGAGCCTGGATGCGTTCCATGTGCACCCGAAGATCAACAACGTCACCGTGGATGGGTGGGCTCTCTATGACGCCGAGCAAGAGTACAAGCGCATGGGCGTTCCGTGCGATGAGTGGCGCTTGTCCACCGTCAACGAGCAATACGAGGTACACATGTGTGTGTGTGTGTGTGTGTGTGCATGTGCGCATGTGTGCGTGTGCGCATGTGTGCGTGTGCGTGCCACAAGTACTTACGACACCATTCCTGCAAGCAACCCCGCTTGCCCTTCTCACATCAATGCTCATTTCATCCACTGCGTCTGCAGGTTTGCCCTACCTATGCGCGCAAGCTGTTCGTACCCACATTCTCCTCGGATGATGTTGTGCGTGGCAGCGCCAAGTTCCGCAGTAAAGGCCGCCTCCCCGCCCTTAGCTTTCGCTCCACCGTCAACCATGTGTGTGTGTGTGTGTGTGTGTGTGTGCGTGTATGTATGTGTTGTGTGTGTGCGTGTGTGTATGTGTGTAATTTGTGCGCGCGCGTGCAAGCGTGCCGTACATGTTTGCGGGCAACCGCCTTCAACACGCGCACAGAAACGTCCCCACTCAAACCCTTAACCCCTCCCCGCTCCGCTTCGCATTACCTCACGCACGACCACCCTGCAGTGCTGTATCTGTCGCAGCAGCCAGCCTTACAGCGGCATGCAGAGCAAGCGGTCTGACGAGGACGAGAAGCATCTGCTGGCCATCCAACGCTGCAGCCCACATGGGAAGCCTCTCATCATCGTCGACACCCGCCCAAAGGTCAACGCAATGGCGAACAAGGCTGCTGGAAAAGGCTTCGAGAACATGGAGGGTTACGCCAACTGCAAGCTCATGTTTCACGGTGTGTGCGATGTGTGTGTTATGTATGTGTGTTGTGTATGTGTGCTGTGCATATTTGTGTGTTGTGTGTGTGTGTTATGTGTGTGTGTGTTGTGTATGTGTGTGTGTTGTATATATATATATATATGTGTGTGTGTGTTATGTGTGTTGTGTGTGTGTTGTATATGTGTGCGTGTGTGCGTGCGTGCGTGTGTCCTTTGTGCCGAGTCGGCTTTGTGTGTCTGTGTGCCTATCCGTGCGTGATGTGTACTACCCATGTGGGCTTGTTCGTTGTGTGTTCTGCTTCTCCCAATTCACAAGATACATTGTATTGGTGATTCTTCCCTCACAAGCTGCACCAAACCTTTCGTTCCTCCCCGGTCATGTCCGTCGTCCATGTTGTAGGCATTCAGAACATCCATGTGATGCGAGACAGTCTCAACGCGCTCTTGAAAGGTGCAGCATCAACCTTCGATCTCACGTGGCTCACGCGCACGCGATTTCGCCACGAGTTGGCGTGCAAAGCGGCAGTCACACGTGCATACACACACACACACACACACACACACACACATGTACACGCGAGCGCCGACTTACTCGTGAATGTCGCCGTTTGTCTGCGCAGCGTGCCTTGCATCCAACATTCGGCCAGACAAGTACCTGCGCGGTGTCAACGACTCTGGATGGCTCAAACACATACAGACAGTCATGCAAACGACACTCAGCATTGTCGATTACATCAACAACGGTCACAACGTCCTCGTGCACTGCAGGTGTGCATGTGTGTGTGTGTTTGTGTGTGTGTGTGGTTGTGGTCATCGTGTTGCGTGCATGTATGTGGGAATGTGTGGCTTCATGTGTATCTCATCTTGAGGTGTTGTGCGTCCTTGTTGTTTGCATCTCACACGTATGGTTTCACAACGTCACACGCTACTGCACGTCGCGCAGTGACGGCTGGGATCGCACTGCACAGACGTGCTCGCTCAGCTCCCTGCTGCTTGATCCATACTACCGCACCATCAACGGATACATTGTTCTCATTGAGAAAGAGTGGCTGTCGTTTGGTCACAAGTTCATGGACAGGCACGGCTTTATTCGCGGCTCTGCAAAGGTCGCATTGGCCTCTGTGTGTGTGTGTGTGTGTATGTTATTGGTGATGCTTGTGTTCTGGTTGGCTTCGTTTTTCACCATCGCACACCCGTTGTTCCCTCCTCAGCGAGCCCCCAATACACTAATGCACTCTCACTTACCCACCCACCCACTGCGCCTTCCGTGTTTGCATCACCCGCAGGAGATGTCGCCAATCTTCCTGCAGTTTCTAGAGTGCACATGGCATTGCATGCAGCAGTTCCCACGTGCATTTGAATTCAACTCAAAGTTTCTCATCTCCATCCATGATTGTCTTCACTCTTGCAAGGTGTGTATGTGTAATTTGTGTGTGTGCGTGCGTGTGTGTGTGCGTGCAGGCAGAGCGGGCGAACATGCCCTCCTTGTTCATCGTTGCTTTACGTGATCCGCAACACCGCCTCATACCACCATTCCACCCTGCTACTAGTTTGGCACGTTCCTGGGCAACTGCGACCGCGAGCGGGATGCGGCCGATGTTCGCACGCGCACGCGATCTGCATGGACCTACATCTTTTCACGGTGGGGCACGCCTTTGTGTACTGATGCAGTTACGCAATAAGGCCCCATCCCCATTTGCTGCTCACCATAATCACTTCTCCTTCACACACACACACACACACACACACACACACACACACACACACACACACACACACACACACACACACACACACACACACAAATACATGCACGCACATATGCGCAGCGACAAGGTCTCACAAACCTTGTTCTTCTCTCGTCACCCTTCTTCGGTGCTTTGCCAGGCGTTTGTGTTTGGCATGCGCGAGCCACCGCGGAGTTTGCTCGAGCAGTGGTGAAGATGTGGCAGCTTTCATCTTCGTTTGCGTTCCTCATGCGCGTCAACTCTTTGTTCGCTCTGCCATGCGCATCGCCTTGATCTCTGTTCGTTTCGTGTGTAATCGTTCGTGTATTCTTTGAGAGTCCAACTTGCGGTCATGTTGGGAGAGTAGAGAATCCGTTATCAGTACACGCACGAGCGTGCGCACGCATGTGCCATTTCACGCAACGGCACGTCCACAAAACACCATATGCACACTCTAGCCATACTCTGAACTGAAACCGCACACATGCGCGCATATGTTCGCACACACACACACACATGTTCGCACACACACGCACATGTACACACGCGCACACACATGCAACCCTCCCCCAACCAACCACACACGCGCGCATATGTTCGCACACACACACACACACACACACACACACACATGCAACCCGCCCCCCCCACCCACCACCACCACCACCGACCAACCACACACACATGCACACACACACACACACACGCCGTCAACCACGGGTATCATTGCTCGTCATCACCGGCGTCGTCGTCATCACCAGCCACCACGTGGCGTGCGTCCTCATAGCCGTACTTGTGTGCGAGTCGCATGGCTGCCCGCGTAAACTCCGCGTCAACCCGATACAGGTCTTCCCAGGTCACCGTGGTGTGGTGCCGCTTCGCCCGCGCGGCGCGGTTGATTCGCTTGCTGCACACGTTCTCCTCAAAGCCTGCAGCGCGGCACACATCTGCAGGCATTGTGTCCTCCATGCGAAAGCGGCGGTCGGCATACACCTCCACCATCCGGTTCCACGTCACCCAGTGGATGAGGGCGCGCCGAAGCACAGGCTGCATGGTCGCCAAATCAGGCACCTGTGGCGTGTGCTTGCCAATGAACCGCCACGATAGGCCTGTGAACGTCGTGAGGCTGGCAACACACCGCAGGGGATGCCGCACCACGTGGAAGACCTGCTGGAACCGCTGGTTGTTGATGCGCCGCTTGCTTGCCTCCCAGGGGTAGAAGTGGTCGGGGTCCACCACGGCGTATGTCCACGACACGCTGCCTTGCGAGCACACGGCTTCGTGGCAGATGTCCAGCCCTTTCATGCGAAGTGCACTGGCGATGTGGTGCGTTCCACTCCGGCCCACGCCAGTCACCAGCAGCGGCACCTGCCCATTGAACGGGCACCCGGGCAGCAGCTTGTGCGAGTGAAGGCAGATGTTGTCCTCCTCCCAGAACCGGCCAGCAATGGCCTTGCGCGCCAGCGCGGCAGCTTCGGAGCTGCCTCGCCGCTTTGCCATGGTGGACTTGAGCTTCGCCAGCTTCTTCGTCGGCACCACCCCATACTGCACGTCCTCTGCGTCGTCTATTCTTATCCCTCTGCTCTCTGCGCCACCATGCCCTTGCGTGCCGCCAGCGTAGTTGCGCCGCCCATCACTGTCGCCACCGCGGCCTGCAACCCCGTCTGCGCCCTGCTGGAGCTCGTGCAGGCCCAGCCGTTCGGCCGTGGCGTCGATTGCCGCCAGGCCCACAGACACGCTGGCGTGCGCGTACAGCAGACACGCAATGGATGCCACCAGCGCTATCAGCGCAGCCACCTCCCCAAACGACACAGGCTTCCCCATCGTCGTCGCAGCCAACAGCAGAATCAACAAACGACAGCATGTAATCGGTTGAGAAACTTGGCACACACACCAACAAAAAATCGTGTGATATCTCCACAACTGGCGGCCACTTCCCCTCGGTCGTTTCTCAGTCGTTTGATGGTTGCTCGCAAGCACGCAAGCACTTCAACTGCACCTCTGCATACACACACACTCTCTCTCCTTCTCTCGCTCTCTCTCTCTCTCACAGACCTTCAAGGCCTTGTCTGTTTCATCAAATCATCCCATCACTCACGGCAGAAGAACAACGAGGAAGCTGCTGAGCCACGACAACGGAACAGGGCGACGCCAAGCACACCAGAACAAGAAGATCAAACCACAAGCACAGCCGCACAGCCGCAGCAGAACTGCAAGACTGTAGCAGGACAACACTCAAAGCTCAAAGGCTCACTTCAACACAACCTCGATCGAGCAGGAACCTGGACAACAGGACAACCTAGCCCAGCCTTCCTACCTTCCTTCCTTCCTTCCTTCAGCGTCACAACAGCCTGCAGCACAAGAGCACACCGCCACACACAATACCGCTGAACCATGTCCGGGAACACCGACAACGGGGAACCTGGTGGTGACAAGAGGGCCGGAAGCCACAACAACAACGGCTCGTCTCCATCAACCCAGCAGGGAACAACAACAGCAACGACGACAATGCCAGGCATTGCACACTTTCTTCGCGCTGACGCCGACTCTGAAGAGGAGCAGCCTCAGCAGCAAGAACTGCAGCCGATGCACTCTGTCATTGAATTGGTCGAACAAGGACACCCCCACTCAACAGCCACCACCGCGACCGGAACCACGGTTTGTGCGCGAGCGAGCGCGACGTATGGCTTTCTCTCTCTTTCACACACACACACACACACGCACACACACACACACACACACACACACACACACACACACACACACACACACACTCTCTCTCTCTCTCCCGTGCTCTCTCCCGTGCTCTCGTGTTGTGGACTGCTCCCCCTCTACCTTTGCACGGTGCAACAACAACTCCCCCCCCCCACAACAACACTACCTCACACTTACCTCACTACCTCTTGCTCATCACACACATTGATGCCACTGGCCAACACAACCCTAACAGGCCGCAGCTAGCGCTGATGTCACAGCAAGCACATCACCTGGAGCCCAAGGGACCACACGGAATTCGTTTGCAGAGGAGGCACCGTTTGTGTTTGATGGGCAGCCCCGCCACATTAGCGGCGATGTGGAGTTCGCGCAACAGTTTGCACCGAATCCTGCTTCGGCAAACCTTCCCACTGCCACGGTGAGCCGCAGCCAAAGCATGCCTGCTACAAGGCTATTGCTGCTGCAAGCACTCTTTGCCCCTTGCTTTCAGCCGTTCGCGGTGTACTGCTGCATGGGGGTTCATGCTTGACACTGCTTTTCTCTTGCTCTCTGACCTCAAGCATGCGCGCTCGCACAACATGCTCACATCACATGTCACACTTTCCAAGTCATTTACGTCCACTTCCCCCTCGCTTACACAAACTCACACACACACACACAAACTCACACGCACGCACGCACGCACGCACGCACGCACACACACACACACACACACACACACACACACACACACACACACACACACACACACACACACACACACACACGCACGCACGCACACACACACACACAGCCACCTGCTCGGGGTCCTGCGACGATGCCAGATGTGTCTGCGCCCAGCGCAACAGCATCCACCCAACCAATGTGGAATGTTGGCCACTTTGGAGAGACGGACACAGACGCACTCGTGGAGTCAGCAGACAATGAGCACGCGGACGCCACCATCGCCACTCCGCGTGCCGTTGGATTGCACGCATTTCGGCCGTCCGCTGCTGTTGGTCCAACGTACAGCAGGAACCGCCTTGTGCTGGCGGCTATCGGTGCCATCTGCATCTTGGCACTTGTGATTGGTATCCCTGTGGGTATCACCTCGTCCTCGTCATCCTCGTCTGGCCCTGGCCACCCTCTGGACTGCTCAGACCCCTTTACACGTCAACAGTTCCGTGACATGTCCTACACCAAGGCATCCAACGTTATTGAGTGCTGCTGTCCCGAATTCTACAGCCTGCACAAGGTCACGGATGTCGTATCCTTGAGCAGCGCGCAGACCCAGGTGCACTTTGGCTCAATACGCTCCATTGGCGGCGATGTGCGTGGCTCGGGTGGTATGATTGAGCTCATCGACTTTGGCAAGGCTAAATCCATTGATGGCGCTCTGGACCTCAACTACAACCGCCTCTCCATAGTCAACTTCCAGAACGTCAAGAAAATCGGCGCCATCTACTTGGGCAACAACATCATCACATCCCTGGATTTTGGCGCTGTCAAGCACGTGCAGGACAGCATTGACTTGCGCAACAACCAACTCAGGCAGATCAGCTTTGGCAAGATTCGCGAAGTTGGCGGCCGTGTGAGTGTCAGCAACAACCTGCTGACGTCTCTCAGCTTTGGTGATCGCCTCCAGGTCATTGGCGGTGATCTCGACGCGATGAGCAACCGGCTGACTGCCGTTGACTTGGGTGCCGTCACCCAGATTGGCGGCCACCTGCGCCTGTCCGACAACCCCCACCTTGCCGCCTTGGATCTGGGCAACGTCAAGACCATCAGCGGCTCCCTGACTGTGCATGCTCGCCTCACACAGCTTGACCTGGCGCAACTAGCAAACATTTCGCAGATCGACGTGAGCGGCAACATGTTGACAACCATCTCCTTTGGTGCTGTCACAGCCATCAGCGGCGGCGTTGACCTGAGCAACAACCAGCTGGGGACGGTGGACCTTCGCAACGTCCGCACTGTTGCTGGGCGTGTTGACCTGAGTCACAACCAACTGTCCGTGATGAACTTCAATAATGCGCTCACTATTGCTGGGCGTGTTGACCTGAGTCACAACAAGCTAACATCGTGCGACTTTGGAAACGTTCAATCCATTGGCGGCGAGATTGATTTGCGAGACAATGCCTTCCGAACCCTTGAGAGCCTTCACTTTGGAAACATGACAACCATCAAAGGGCTGGTGCTCAGCGCGAACAGGCTGACGTCTGTGAACATTGAAGGCCCAACGACCATGTTTGGCACGTTGACACTCAGCTACAACCAGCTGTCGACTCTTGACGTTCGTGGAACCCTCAGAACCGTGCAGGGTGATGTGGTTCTTGACCACAGTGGCCTTGACAGCCTCAAATTCTCCTCAATCATTCGCATTGGCGGAGTATTGGACTTAACTGGCAACAACCGGCTGACCACACTGGACTTTGGAAGCGTTTCATCCATTGGTGGCCACATTGCCCTGGGCACCACCCCGCACTTGGCAGTCGTAAACCTGGGAGGCCTAACACTGCTGGCGTCGTCGCTGACAGTGCATGGCAGGCTGACGCACTTTGACATTGGCGACGTGACCTCCGTTGCTGGGCAGATTGACCTGCGTGGCAATCAGCTGACCTCCCTTGATTTGAGTGGCCTGAAGGTGGTGGCCACTTCCCTGGCCCTGCAGAACAACCGATTGACGTTCCTGAATTTGGGCAGCATCGAGCACATTCGTAGCGTCAATGTTCGGGGCAATCCCCTGTCTGTCATCCACTTTGATGCGGGCAGGACATTGAGGTCAGATCTCACGCTCAGCTACGGTTACAACCAGCCGTCATGTGGGATACGAGGTCTGGCCACTGTTTCCGGCAGTCTGGACCTGCACGACAACGGTCTCACGCGATTTGACTTTGGTGACCTGCACACTGTCAAGGGTGACATGGATCTGTCGTTCAACGATTTCACGGAAATTACGCTTGCCAACGTCACGTCTGTGGGCGGCGGCCTCAACCTTAGGTACAACCGCGAGCTGACCAGCATTGACCTCGGGAGCCTCCAGGAGCTGGGCGGTGCCATTAATTTTGATGGCTTATCGAAGTTGAAAGAGTTGCGCATGGGCAGGTTAACGACGCTCTCGCAGGACCTGAGTTTTGTTAACGCCCAGCTCACGCACGTGGACTTTGGTGAGCTGACGAGGGTGGAAGGCAACATTGAACTGTATTACAACGACCTGACGGCGTTTGACATCCAACGCGTGACACATGTGGGCGGAACCCTGAACCTCCAAGCAAATCAGATCACCCATATTCTTCTGCGCAATTTGCAGCACTTGCGCGGGGAACTGAGATGCGGTACCACGGAACACCTGCCAGTCACGATCCAGTTCAACAGCGGCGCTGCCATGGACTCGTCCCTTAACGTGACAGCTTATCAGTCGAGGCTGGCCTTCGCCGGCCTCACGCAGCTTGGCGGCAGCCTGTCCCTGAAGTACCAGAGCCTGTACAATGTTGACTTTGGCCCACTGCAGAGCATCGGTGGAGATCTTGACTTGAGGGGCAACAGGTTTTCCACCATTGACCTCCAGCTCATTTCTTCCATCAAAGGCAGGCTGCAGCTTGGGAAAAGGCCTTCTGAGAACCAAAACCTTGTTGCAATTGATCTGGGGCAGCTCACCTCGCTCAACCATGCCATCGCATGGCCCAACTTCAACTTGAAGCGGGTTGATTTTGGCAGGCTGACCTCTGTCTCTGGTATGATCGACCTTCGTAGCTGCCAGCTGACAATGCTGGATCTACAATCCCTCACCTCAGTGCCGTCAGATGTGCTTCTGGGGTACAACTCCATGACCACGTTTGATTTTGGAAGCGTGACACGCGTCGAGGGCAATGTCGACCTGAGCAACAACCGCTTGACAACAATCGAGCGTGGGCGGCTGCAGGTGATCACAGGCAACCTCGACGTGAGGTCCAATCCACTGACCTCCTTCGACAGCGATGTGTGGAACCGCATTGTTCAAGGGCAGGTGCTCATGTGATGATGCTGGTGCACGTGTTGCGCCTGCATGTGCATGAAAGTGCACGTTCGTTCACATTTGCGTGGAACGTGGATCCCCTCCCCCCTTCTCCCAGCACCCCACTCCCTCTCTGTTGTGCTGTGTGGTTGATACAAAGACCGTTGATTTTGTTTGCACTGGTGATAGTTGCAATTCCATTCTTCCATCGCTCTGTTTCATTTCTGTTTTGTTCGGCGATGTTTTTGTGGCGTCGCGTTTCTTCCCAGCCCCTTTGTTGTTGTTGTTGTTGTTGTTGTTGTTGTTGTTGTTGTTGTTGTTGTTGTTGTTGTTGTTGTTGTTGTTGTTGTTGTTGTTGTTGTTGTTGTTGTTGTTGTTGTTGTTGTTGCTCTGGCTGTTGTTGTTGTTTCCTTTTGGGCGACGTCATGTCTGTATGTCGCACCGATTGAGCATCGCATTTCATCTCTTCCCCTCTTTGTTGACGTTTGTTGTCAGAACTGCGCGTGCTTCCATTCTTCCCCTCCCCGCCCCTTTGTCGTTGTGTTGGTGGTCGTTGCCCACAATCATGAAACATACGTCCAGTCCATACCTCGCCAAGTCCCCCAGCGACCTTGTGTTGCCTTCATGTTAAACGCGTGTGTTCCCACATCACCTGCATGAGCTTTTGTGTGCATTTATTCTGACGCCGCAAGAAAGAACAGCGCAGTGAAACACACACACACACACACATCATCATCATCATCATCATCATCATCATCATCATCATCATCATCATCATCATCATCATCATCATCACCACCATCATCACCACACCTCACCCCCCCCGCACACACGCACACATTCACATCACAACACATTCAAGGAGAGCTAAGCAGCCAGCTGTGGTGAGAAAGGATGCTGCCCTGTTCCTCGTGTACACGTCATTTACCACCGCTGAAGGAGCCCGTGATGTTCACCTGCGTCAAAGCCAAACGAGCAGCGCGTGAGTACACAGGGAGATGGACGCAAGTGAGCGACGTTGCCAGGTGCGTGTGATGAAACAACGATGTGGATGAAGCGTGGTGGTGGTGGTGCAAACGCGAGGAGGAGCACGCACAAAACGAACCTGCACAGCGGACACGTTGCGGGACTTTGACTTGTTCTTCTGGCTCTTGAACATGCGGTTGAAGTCCGCCATCCTCCCTTGCGAGCGCGCAGCCTATGGTCGTGGTGCAGGTGATGGCGATGGCGTTAGCGCCGGTGCGAGCGTGAATACCTCCACACACAGACACAGACACACACACACACACAGACAGACACAGACAGACACAGACACACACAGACACACACACACACACACAGGCGCACACACGCACCCTAGCAGTTGTATCAAAGTCCTGGGTGACTTTGCTCTCTGGTCGAATCACGTAGTCGCGATCTGCGTCGTGCAAGTGAAATGATGGTGATGGGAGGTCAAGGAATAGAAACGAGGTCCCGTGAGCAAAGACCAACGGGGAGGGAAGCAAGCTCAAGGGAAAAGACGGAGAAGTATGCTTCGTGTGATGATTAGACGCACGCACACACACACACACACACACATCACATCACGCGGTTGACTGACCCTCTGGCTGGGGCACGCGGGCGCGGATGATGAAGCCCTTGTCGCCGGGGCGGAGGGCGGATGTGTCTTGGACGCTGCGATGGCTGCGGGCGGGGCCGACGCGGCGCATGCGGCGGCGAAGGCGCTCCTCCTCAGCCGCCTGCTGCTGTTGGTGATGGCGGCGGCGGCGGTGGTGGTGGTGGGGGTGATAACCATGGTGAGGGCAGCGAGTAAGGAACATGGACTGCACTTGGTAGACGATGAAGCTGTGGCGGCGTCAAGAAGACGCGCGCGCGCACACACACACACACACACACACACACACACACACACACACACACACACACACACACACACACACACAC